CATAAATACATGTAGTTGAAATATTAAATTAGAATTGTTAAAATATTATATTAGATTTGATTAGATTTAATATTTAAATATAATTCAAGTTGTGTAGACCCGAGCCCAATTAAGATTGTATATAAATAGTCCTAGTTTGTATCATTATTTATCCAATTCAATAATACAAATTCTTATATCCTTTATTATTCTCTCTTTCTCTCCTTACTAAAAGTGTCTCACGCACTAACAAATTGGTATCTTGAGCTTCTGGTTATTGTTTTTGATCCAGTTTTCAAGAAATTCACGTCAGAGATTTTGTTTCTAGGGCAAGTGAATCAACTGTTGCAAAGATGGCTAATGATAAGGGTTTTCTGAATTATCTTTCAATGCTTGACGGAAATAATTGGATCCGATGGAAAAAAACATATGCAATCCTCGTTTGGCTTCCATAAAACCCTAGAAGTGGTTACCAACGGTGTTCCTGCGTTGGATGCAAATGCAACCGATAAACGGAAAAAAGCCCATAACAAAGTCAAGAAGAAAGATTGCAAGGCTGCTTATTGCATTCAGAAGACAATCGATGCTGCTAATTTTGACAGAATCTCTCATGCTGAAACGGCGAAAGAGGCATGGGATATTTTGGTGAAGTATTACGAAGGAGGTGAGAAAGTTAAGGTTGTAAATTTACAAACCTTACGTCAACAATATGAGTCGTTGTCAATGGGAGAAGATGAAAAAGTTACAAAATATGTGTCGAAAGTTCATAAACTCGTCCATATCATGAAGGGTTATGGTGAAATCATAACTGATAATATGATAGTTGAGAAGGTAATGAGAATGTTGAACTCTCACTTTGATCATAGTATCGTAGCTATTCAAGAATCCAACAAACTTGAAACCCTAAAAGTTGAAGATTTGGTTGGTTCGTTGGAGGCGCGTGAGATGAGGGTTATCGAAAGGAACGAAGTTCAGGACTCCATATAGACGCTGCAAGCTCAGTCATGGAAAAAGGATGGTGGTTCCAACAAATTCAAAGGCGAGTTCGACAAAACTCAAGGCAAGAAGTCTTGGTTGAAACCTCACAAGCATCGGGTCGAAGGTGGAGCTTCTGAATCCTCGAAAGAAGGAGGAGGAAACTATCGAAAGGGAAAAGAAGATAAAAAAGGTGTGCAGTGCTATAACTATGAAAAGTGGGGTCACGTAGCCAAGAATTGTTGGTACAGAAAAGATAAGGGATCGACACGCAAGGACGAAGAAGCGAACCTTTCACGCCAAGATTAAGATGATTCTGAAGGTGGTATGGTGGTTATGGCTGCAGTTGCAGATAACCATGTCGAATCCAAGATTTGGTTTCTCGACTCAGGCTACTCGAACCACGTGACCGGTCGAAAGGAGTGGTTGGCAGATTTTGACTAGTCGAAGAAGAGCAAGGTAAAACTTGCCGATAATAGTTCGTTGCAAGCAAAAGGTACTGTCAATATAGTATTTCAAATGAGTAATAGAGGGAAAGCTATGATCAAAGATGTACTTTATGTACCTGGAATAAAGTGCAACTTGCTAAATGTTGGACAACTAGTCGAAAAAGGTTTCTCAATTGTCATGAAAGATGGAGTTTTGAAATTGTTCGACACCAAGAACAATTTGGTCTTAAAATCTTCGTTGTAAAAGAACATGACATTTAAGACTATGATCAGTTCGACAGAAGTTCAATGTTTGAAAACTGTTGTACCATATGGATAGTTAATTGTGGCATTTAAGGTTGGGACATTTGAATTTTTTATCACTCAATCAACTGATTACTCAAGATATGGTTACTGGAATTCCAAGCCTTCAGATGCCTGAAAACTTTGTGAAGGTTGTTTAGTAGGAAAGTAATCCAGAAATTATTTTGTTTCGACTAGGCCAATGAGATCATCTTCCATACTCAAATTGGTATAATCAGATGTATGTGGTCCATTCGAAGAACATACAATTGGTAGAAACATATATTTTGTTTTGTTTATCGATGAGTTTAGTCGAAAGTTGTGAATCTATGTGATCAAACGAAAGGACAAAGTATTAAAAATATTTAAGAGATTCAAGATACTTGTCGAAAACCAGAGTAAGAAGAAGATTAAAGTTTTGCAGACAGATGGAGGTGGCGAATACACATCCAAGATGTTTAAAGATTTATGTGCAGAACATGATGTTGATCATGAGGCAACTGCTCCTTATACACCTCAACATAATGGAATTGTTGAAAGAAGAAACAGAACCATATTAGATACGGCGAGATGCATGTTGAAGTAAAATAATTTTCCAAAGTATTCATGGGAAGAAGCTATTTCGACTGCAGTTTATATATTGAATAGGTGTCCTACCCAAGATATTGAAGAATAAAGTTCCTGAAGAAGTATGGAGTGGCAAACGACCATCAATGAATCATTTGAAAGTGTTTGGCTCTATGTGTTACAAGCATGTTCCTGATACAAGAAGAAGGAAGCTTGATGACAAGAGTGAACATAAGATTTTGGTAGGATATCATAAAATTGGTGCATATAGACTATTTAATCCAGTTAATGAGAAGATTGTGTTGAGTCGAGTTATTGTGATTAATGAAAATTATGCCTGGGATTGGAATTCTAGCAATTCAATTAACAAGCCATTGATGAGTTTTGATTTCGACAAAGAAGCTGATGAAGTAGAGGTCGAAGGAATTTTTGAGAATCCAGTCAAAGTCGAAGAAGAAGTAGTTGCTGACATTCCCGACACAGTCGAAGTCGAAGAAGAAGTAGTTGCTGACATTCCCGACACAGTCGAAGTCGAAGAGGTTGTGGCTGAAACAAGTCAAATACCTCAAAGAAATAGAGTTCTTCCAACAAGACATCATGATTATGAAGTGGTGGGTGATGATGAAGTCACACCAGATGAAGAATTAGTTCTTTTTGCTTTACTTGCAGGTGTTGAACCAATTAACTATAGCGAAGTTTTAAAGACTAAACAGTGAAAGTTAGCTATGGTTGAAGAGTTACGGGCAACCGAAAGAAACAACACATGGAAGTTAGTCGAATTGCAAGCACATACAAAAGTTATCGAAGTAAAGTAAGTGTTCAAGTTAAAACATAATGTTGATGGTTCGATAGCGAGACATAAAGCAAGATTAGTAGCTCGAGGGTTTTTTCAAAGAGAATGACTTGACTACTCTGAAGTAGTTGCTCCAGTAGCAAGATTGGAGACTGTTCGACTAGTGGTAGCATTGGCATGCAACCAAGGTTGGTCGACATTTCATTTAGATGTGAAATCGACATTCCTTAATGGTCCTTTAGACGAAGAGGTATATGTCACACAACCTCCAGGGTTTGTGATTCACAAGGAATCGAGTAAAGTATATAAGTTGCACAAAACGCTCTATGGCCTCAAGCAGGCTCCTAGGGCATGGAACAAGAAGATCGACTCATACTTAGTCGAATTGGGATTTATCAAATACAAATCTGAGTATGGTGTATATGTTCTTGTTGTAGTACAAGATATAACAATCACCTTCTTATATATTGATGACTTGCTAGTAACTGGAAATAACTTGGAGAACTTGTCGAAGTTCAAAGAGTTGATGATGAAGGAATTTGAAATGTCCGATCTGGAAAAAAATGATCTTATTTCTTAGGTATGGAATTTCAAATTTGAAGCAAGGTATGGTGCTACATCAAATAAAGTATGTCAAAGAAATACTCAAGAGATTCAAAATGGATTATTCGAATCCTGCATCCTCCCCTATCGAACCAAATGTAAAATTGGAGAAGAATGGAGAGGAAGACAAGGTCGATGTAACTTTATTTAAGCAAATTGTGGGATCTTTGAAGTATGTGTGCAACAGTCGAACTGATATAGGTTTCGCTGTCGGATTAGTAAGCGAATATATGAGTAAACCAAGAGTGTCACATATGAAGGCTGCAAGAAGAATCCTGAGATATTTGAAGGGTTCGATAAACTGTAGAATACTATTTTAACAAGATTCTGAAGACAAAGAATCAATAGTTAATTGTTTTTCAGATGTTGATTAGTGTGGAGATAAGGACGATTGAAGAAACACAACTAGATATTTCTTTCAAGTCTTTGGTGCCTCAATCTCATGGTGTTCGAAGAAGCAACATGTGATGGCATTATCATCTTGTAAAGCTGAATATATAACAGGATCATATGCTACATGTCAAGCAATTTGGATCAGATATGTACTTGAAGAAATGAAAGTCGAAGTGAAGAAACCTCTTGTATTGCAAGTCGACAACAAGTCAGCCATAAATCTGACAAAGAATCATGTTCTGCATAGAAGAATTAAACATATTGAAGTAAAGTTTCACTTATTGAGGGAAAAGGTAAATCAATGTGAACTTGAAATAAGACATTGTTCAAGTGAAGCATAGTTGGCCAACATTTTCACTAAAAGATTGAAGATTGAAGGATTCCTAGATTTAAGTAAGAAATTATGAATAGTTCAAATTGATTATTTTTGAAAATGTTCGACAACTTAAATTATGGGAGTGTGTTAAAATATTAAATTAAGTTTGTTAAAATATTATATTATATTTAATATTTAAATATAATTCAAATTGTGTAGACCCAAACTCAATTAGAGTTGTATATAAATAATTCTAGTGTATCATTATTGATACAATTTAATAATATAAATCTTTATTTTCTTTATTATTCTTTCTCTTCTCACTAAAAATGTTTCACGCACTAACAAAATGTAAGGGTTAAGATACAACCTTCACTCCCTTTTCTGACAAGGAATAAGGATTAAGACATAAAATATCTATTACAACAATTAGCCACATGAGTCAGACAGGTATCGTTATCATGAAAATGCTAATGATCTGCTTCATTAATCAGTTAACAAACTTGAGTCATGATTTCTCAGTAAAGAGGAAGAAAAAGGTAAATAAAAAGTGACAGCCTACAAAAATCAGCTGGCTAAATATGCTCCCGTGAAGAAACACCGAACTCAACAAATGACTACTCTGCATACATACTACAACAATTTACGGGGATTCTTCTGTGGTGTTAGAATTCCCTTTGAAGCTTTTGCTCAACCAGATGGCGGTTTCTCTTGGGGAGACCTTGCCAGGACCAAATGGTTTTAACAAAACTCCAAGTTCGTCATACCTTGCTTGCTGGAGCAATCTTGCACTAAATTCAAGCAACCCTTCTAAGGCTTCAGCCCTTTGTTGGAAAGACGAAGTGTCAAACTGTCGGCGCTGCAAGTCTGAAGATGTGTAGCTTGATGCACCTGCCGTTGCGTTTTGATCAGAGGAACCACTTTTATCCTCGTGGATTTCCTTTAACATGCTGTGCTTGATTCCCTGCCAATCATCGGTACTTTTAGGATTTGTAGAGGCTCTATCGCTTACCTCTATTGTGCATTTGTCTATCACAGTTGAGTAATTGTCACGTGGGAATCCCGAAGAACCTTGTCCAGAGGTTGACGTTTTGTTGAGTGGGAATAAAGAATCTTCATATGATGCTAATGGGAATTCAGCTATCCTATCGATTCGGGGAGAGTTGACTGAGATATCTGGTGAAGACACGTGGCTAAGCAAACCAACACTCGGCCTGCAAGGAGGCTCATGAATACCACTCCTTGTTGACAATGGAAATGATGCTCTACGATTTGTATGAGCAGATTTTGAGATGCTTTGTGAAACAGGAAGCTGCAACCAGAGATTAGAAAGTCAGGCATTGCGCAAACTTCATTTTTTTTGGATAAAATAACCCTTATGACCCAATAAATATCATTCCTCGTTATTTTGAATATTACAATATATTCTTAATACATATATCATATTTTATCTCCTCAGAAGTCAATGTTAAATCTTTTTTAGTTTAGTACTACTTCAATTCAACAATAAATAGTCTAATACTTGAAGACAGATTTTAACAGAATTACTATACCCAGAAATAATTTTTCTAATAGTCTATGTACTGTTTTTTTTAATAAACCACGTGGCAAACTATTCCTCTACCCCAAACTAAAAGGAAAAAAGAAAAGGCCAAGGACACTTGAAATACTTACAGTTTGCTTTACCACCTTGCGATTGTTTGAGGGTTCAATTGATTTCCTGTGGGTGCCAGAAACTTTTGATGAAGTGAACTTTGGATTTGGAGTCTTAGCAATACTAGAAGTTCTGGAAACAGCAGGTTTATGGACTGATTTCATGTCACGACTATTACCTGTACATAATTCTGCCATTCTTGAATTCAAATGATCAGGAGTACAACCTATTTCTAGGGTAGAACATACAGAATCTTGATCAGCTCCAGACACACTAGGATTTAGAGCCCGATCATTACTGTAAGAATAGCGCTTATTCTTAGAGATGGTAACGGTATCATCTTTTGGATCTAAAAATCTAGTTTTCTTCATGTACTTTGACTCTCGCCGATGAACAGGCAATGTGCTTCGCCTAGGGCTATTGAGTTTCAGATGGATCTTTAGAACATAAGGTTGAAGATGTGGGTGCCCGAGAAGCTCTGAAGCCTACCACAGGAAGAAAACTTCAAATGAGAAAATAGGTTCATGTGACAGATCAAATTTAAACTCATATGGTCAAGCATAGCACGATATCTACCCAGAGTTTAGAAAAGAAAATGAGAAGAACGAATGTTATGGGACCATGTAATCTTGAAACAAAATTTGAGGAATGCATGGTTAAATTCCATGGTTGTTTTTCAGATGATAGCATAAATGATTATTTTTATTAGACAGTGGGTTCAATCAAAAAAATGAAATATGGTGCAAGATGTTAGCACCGATACATTGAATTGCATTATTCAAGGTCAAAGGAGAACTATACATACACTGGGTCTCAACTCTGGATTTTTTCGCAGCATGCTTTTCACCAGACTTCGACTGCCAAAAGGAAAAAACAAATGACTCTGTCAATCATCAATCATACCGTCTATAACTATACACTCATGATTGATTGCTATATTTTAACAAGAAACCCCACTTTGGAGTCATAGAATCCCCACTTTGGAGTCATAGAAACCCCACTTTGAATTATCTTTGGCTAACCCACTTCTTTTAGCTTTGGAAAACTTCAGACACTGACTGTGAAATGCTAAATTTCACAGCTTAAGACAGGACAGTGCAATTTGCAAATGGCAAGATTAACCATCGTAACACCGTGAAGAAAGGGATAAAAACTTACAATGAACTAGAATATTTTGTCGGTAGTGGAGCCACTATGGACTTACTAATCTTGATAATCAATGCTTGTATATCCTGTTCAAAGAAATTCGAAGATGTAAAATCTGTTAAGTGTATAGATTTATATTCTTTGAGGCATAAGTATAACAATGCGGCTGAAAATATATAGTAAAATATCAGTTAAAAAAATATCTTCAGCTTGGTTACAGAAAAAAAGTTAAATGGATTTAAGCCTAGAGGTCAACCAACACAACATAAATTCCCTGTACAAACACCGAAATCTAATGATAGTCAAAATGGTAAGCAAATGTGTTTATAATTGATTAATCCAAAATCAGAAATTAACTTATTAAATATTCTCCAAGAATTAAATAAATCATTTTAATTAAAAAAAAAACTTACAAATGCTTTGAATGCAGGCTTATGTCCTGCCATTTCATATATACAACATCCTGGATAATCGATTTCAGATATCATTTTATACATAATAAACCAATAATAGAGGGTTTACGGTAAAAAAAATTAATCAAACCACAAGTACTAACCCAATGACCAAATATCTGATTTAGAACCATAAGGTATATCCGCAAGGAGCTCAGGGCACATGTAGCTAGGAGTTCCCACAACCTACATTACAAGATAATGATGAATTGATGATTAAATGTAATCAATGTCGAGAGGGAAGACTCATTCAAACATTAAACATTTCTTACAGAGGAAGCAAGATCATCAGAAGTCAACATTTTGGCAAGTCCAAAATCACCTGCTTCATCATTGATCACTTGTTAGCAAAATTTCAATGATCTATACCTTACTTAAAGAGCCATAGAGAAACATACCTAGACGTATGTCCCGATCTTTCGTCAAGAAGATATTTGAACACTGATGGAATCATGTGATTTTCTCATTAGGATACAGCTTAATAAGATTTAGATGGGAATAGAAATACCCTTCTATGTACAAAGAGAAATCTGATACATACCTTGACATCACGATGTAGAATGTGATTCATGTGCAGGTAGTCAAGTGCCATAAGAAGTTGAACGAGCCATTTACAAAGTTTCTGAAAAGAAATTATCCTTTTTAGAATTTTAATGCAATATTTCAAATGTTATCCCTAGTCTTGTCAGAAATTAAAATATCAGCAAGGAGAAAAGGAAACGGGAATAACCTCCTCGGGAAACAGAACACCGTTAGTCTTCTTTATAGTTTCCGCCCTGGGTTACATAATAACATATTTCAAATGTTTTCATGCGTTAATTCACAAAAGCTGAAATAAAATAGAACTATAAATGTACACCAGGAGACATCAGCAAATAAAGACTTACATATCACCGCCCTCACAATAACCTATAATAATGCAGACATAGCAACCCTGAAAAAGAAGAAGCCAAAACAGATCAATACTAGAAGTACCTCGGGAGTTTTTATAATAAAAGTACAAAATGTTCTAGCCAATCTTACAAATGAAGCTTGTTTCAGCAAACTTACAGAAGAAGCCATTCTTATAATTAACCAAAGAGATGGAAGAGATGTAAAAATTAAGAATCAAAATACCTTTTCTACCCATGAATCTTTATACTCCACTATAAATGGGTTTCGCAATTTAGAGATAAGTTCCATCTACATGGGCCACAAGAAACACATTAAAGTTATCCTGAACCATATTCACAGACAATTTCAAATCAAGCAATGGTGTCAACGTAAGTTGACATGAATTTTATAGCTTAATTTAAAAATTGAGTTATGAAACCAAGCAGCACGCAGAGGAAAATTTTACAACACAATTTAATAAACCGGTCCACTAGTTGAATAACTATTCGAAACACCAACCTCCTGGTGTGCGGATCTGCGAGAACGCTCCGTTTGGCGGGCAAGTCTAATCTTCTTCAACACATATCTACATAATCAAAACACATAAATTAATAAAATCATTGCTAATAATGATACATAGGATCTCATACATCCTAGTTTAAGGAATCAAAAAAAAAAAAAACTTAAGGTAGGCTCCATTCTCACTTTTTCTTCTCATGTTTATGCCTCACAAGAAGCGCTGAACCGAAAGCACCTTTTCCAATTTGCTCAAGTACTTCATACTGCTCCATGTCATCAATTTAGTAAAAGAAAATCCACTCTCTTGAGTACAAACCAAGAAAAGTGTGTTAGTCAAGAATCAGAATACAACACAAATTACACAATCCAATTCAACCCCAAAATAAACCATTGAACAAAAAAAATTTTAAGGAAAATAATGCAGTACAGAAACTTAGGTTAACACTTCTAATTACAGCACGGCATAAAGCATATAGTATAATCACACGGAAAAGTTTAAGTAACCACAGATCGCATTAAGCTATGCAATAAAGTTGAGTAATGAATAATCAGTGTTGTGTTGAAGTTGATTCAACCATAAAAGTTATTCATATATGTAAGTAGTACCGTATATAGAAATTAACCTAATGAATAAGAAACTTTAGAGAATATGCTACTAGAAGCAGTACTTAGATAAGTTAGATTCACTAACTATATGTTGCTTTCTCACCTACATTTCATACAAACACACGAAACCGCAATAAATTAAGCAATAATGAAAATTAAAAGCAGAAAAAAAAAACGATTCGGTTCACAAATCAGATTAAAAAAAAAGTCAAATGCAGAAGCGCTTAACAAGGAAAAAAGTAACACCGACGAGAATAAAGAATTTGATACATAATTAGAAAGTTGGCAAGGAAATGAGATGAATCAGTGAGAGAAAAGGAAGGAAGAGAGTAAATGTACCTGTGTTGTGTGAGTCGGTGGATGCGAGAAAGAGGAGGAAGATGAATGGATCGGAATGTAGATGGTGAAAGAGAGGAGTTATAAAGCGAAGTTGAGGAATGGTGAGGAAGGTGCAAAACGACACCGTTGTTCGGGAAGGAGAAGAAGAAGACGAAGTTGTAGAAGAAGCTCTTTCGCCATTCTCGTTGGGAGAAAGAAAAGGACAAATTCAGAGAGAGATTACATTTATTTATATTTGAGATATTTGAGATATTGCTTTTTTTTATTTATTGATAGCACAAGTGGAACTTTAAATGGTGTGTGAGGCTAAAACCAAAGTCTCGACTCCAAAGTGATGATAATTATTAAAAACTCAAAGAAGTGTGAACGGTAGAATTCGAACTCAATGACAACATTAGATGAAAATATGACATTTAATCTAAATAATTAGAATTTGCGAAGTGAATTTAATAAAATGTTACTTTAGCATGATGAGAGAGATGGGAGTAGATAAAGGAAAATGATGTGGGTTGAAATTAATAAAAGGAGAGTGAAACATTTATTACTCGGTAGATAAAATGAGAGTGGGACGCTTTTGTTTCCTGTTATGTGAAAAAGAATCAGAAAGCAAAAGACGGGAAAGGTGGGTTATCTACTTGTCTCAGACTACTCTACTCTTCTTCTGACTCACTATACAGTAAATAATATTCATCTCTTTACCTATCAATCACATGATTTTTATATGGTAAATTTTAATTTTTTTAAAATAAGTAATATAAAATTAAATATAGTTGTTTTATTGGATAAAAGTATGGTGTCCAATTAAATTCAAGGTTATTATTAATTTAAAAAAATTAAGCAAAAGAAAATGGTAGTGTAAATTGAAATATGGTATACTAGTAAGAGTGACTTACTGTGTGTAATATTGATTAAAGATTATAATTATAAGAAATAATTTGGATTTGAATTCTCTTCTACTTTTTGTCTCATGTTTTTCGTCTCAGGTTTTCGTTCAATTTCAATCTCAACCATTTATTCATTATATTTTTGTTTTTTTTTTGTGTTTATATTTTTTTTTATGGTCAATCAACTATTAAATTGAAAAGGGGGATGACATTATCAAAAAAAGCATGAGAGAATTCATATTCAAATTAATATTATAGTAAAAAAATTAAATAAATAAATAACATTAATTAAGAAAAGAGTATATGAAGCATTGTTTAAGAAAAACATTGATTAATTAAATAATTAAGATTTGTTTACTTTTTGATAAAATTTTCTAAAATTTATGCTAATTTTATTTCCAAATTAGGAGATAGAGTTAAAGGTTGTTTTTTTTTTTTTTTGGTAAAAACAGTTCATAATTAATAATTAATAATTGACCGTTAATGAATGGTAATTTTTGTAATCACAAATAAATTTAATAATTAATAATACAAGAAGGACATACATTTATGATACTACAGCTAATCTAGGAAATGGTCGCATTTGCTAAAGAGTGGGCAATCATGTTCGTTTGGCGTTTAACAAACTTTACCTCAAAGTTAGAGAACAAAAACAATAAATTTTGAATAGCTATAATAATAAAAATAAACTCCGAGCTACTCGGGGGATTAGAACTAATAGCCTGGACCACCCTTTGAGAATCGCTCTCAACAACGACATTTCTAAGTTGCATTGTAATAGCACCTTGGATAGCCTCTTTGAGGGCCAAAGTCTTCGCTTCTAGGATAAAGTACATACCAAGATCCCAATTCGCACTTGCCATAATAAAGCGACCAAGATCATCGCGCACACGTCAGCCTCGATTTGTAGTGCCACGAATTTGGTTGAAACCCACGTCGACGTTACACTTTAACCATCATTCATCCTGTGGAGTCCAAGTCAAAATAGGTTGTTGGACAAGCTCCATACCTTGGGTCTCTTGAGAAGAAAATCAAACATTCCAGTTAACAAACGATTGTAAGCCAAGTCTAGTCGGATCTTCTTACTCGTTATTCCAAAGCAGATTATTTATATTCTTCCATAGGACATCCATCATCACTGCCACTCTCTCAGTCGTCTGTCTATCCTCCTTACTACATATATCAAGAATCGTGAATTTAGTATCACTAAATAAGTTTAAGTGAGATTTTATAATGTTCGATAAACTTGTTGCCCCCTAGCATGGACTAGTTCTCAAACACCCAAATAAGACATGTCAACGATCCTCTATATCAACATCACAAAACTAACAATTTATCAGGCGTGGAACATATGATATTGCCAAAAAGTGTTACCTGAGTAGGTAAGCAGCCCCAGCCAATTCTCCAAAGGAGATGCTTTGCTCTAGGGGGTGCTTAAATGTTCCACAGGTTGCCCCAGTCCCTTTTGACACCTCTAGTCTTATGATTTTCTTGCCCTATCTCTATAATATGTATCCAAAATGAACATTGTATTCACCATTCTGCTCGTACTTCCAATTCCATCTATCTTCCACTACCTCCCCCACTAAAGGAACCTGGAGGATGTCTTCAGCCACTACATCGTCAAACAACTCCTTAATCACATGAACGTTCCATTGTTTAACATTAGATTGCAACATATTGTGAACATAAATCTCATACACACCTTGTCCTTAGGGGCCACACAAACAACCTTCCACTTTACCTCTAAGCCACGGTGCATTCATTACCATAATTTTTCTTCCATCACCAATACTCCACCTACAACCAAGGGTTAGGATTTTTCGAGCTTGCCAAAGACTTCTCCAAACATAATTTAGATTATTACCAATACTAGCTTCAAAAAAGGATGTTCTAGGATAATATTGAAATTTTGGCACTGGTACACAACATGCTCATAATGATGTTTTCAACATCAGAACATGATGCCAGGACAGATGTTACGACATTTATAGACAGGCTGAATAGTAATATCAAACTGAAATAATATGTAGAATTTAAATGCATAATGATAAAGAACACATTCAATTGTTAACCTAGTTCAGTGCAACTCACCTACTCTGAGGGCTACCAAGCCAAGAAAAAAATGTACTATCAGTAGTATTAATTCTATGCCTAAACAATCCCAATTTACAACTTATCACTTAATCCCTACCCATTGAAACTTCTACCTAAGAACCTCCTATATATGAGAAATCGTCATCTCACTCCCAATCACTATAGTGATAAAAGACTTACCCCAATTCCAGTGGCAGTCTATAGACTAGTTACAATCACAGTAACTAGTACAAAGAGAAACTCAAAAAAAAAAGTACACTTCACATACAAAAATACTTAGTCAAGACTCTTGACTAAGAACAATACTTGGTTTTTCTTAAAAGCTTCAACCAAGAACAATACCCAACTCATTACCTAAAGGCTTCTGAGTGAGAACATTACGTCTACCACAAGTATCAAAAGATACAATGGTGACTTACAACTATAAAGAGCACGAGAGGCTTTTAAAACCTAAACCTTTATTTTTAACTAAGCAAAACAAGAACTACTTTACCCTAGGTCTTGATCTTATTTTTATAAGCTTTAGTTATCCATGGGCTTCGAATTCTCTGCCCAATTATTCCTTGATCCATGCATTGATTATTGCATAAAATATCTCCTTAAATCTTGGAACAAATCTTCAAGTATCCTAAATTGTCTCAACAATCAAATTTATAAACTTTAATATTGTTAGAGATTTGATTCACTTGTTCCATATTACATCTTCTTGACATGCGAAAGTAACTGAGATATATCCAATAGGGATCTCAGACTATCAAATCAAATCTTGTCAAGAAATATGAAACAACCGTGCCAATTGTACCAAACCAAGATGTCATGACATTGCCTTCGACATCTGGTTGAAAATCTCATAACAGCAGACCTGTTATGACAAATCATGTTTTACCAAAATTTAGCCAATCACAAAACTATGGTACTAACAATCTCCCCCTTTGGAAAATTTTGACTAAAACACTCTTAGCACAAAAAATCCAGGAGACGGGAATAAAACCACAACTTTAGACAACTTGATCATCCCAGATTTATTTCTCCCCTGTCACCAGAAACCCAACCAGGAAAATCAACAGACCAGAACTGAGGAAAACCCAAACGACCTACATGAGTTATCCAAGTTCACACATCTGAGACTCATTCCCTCGGAACAACGCACATGATCTATCCAAGTTCACACATAAACAAAATTTTAGAACATCTTGTTTAACATTTGTGCACACCAGAAAGCACATTAGCAACAACAGAACAACACAAGCACGATAGACTATCATGCTCCCCCTAAACAGTTGCATACAACAAGCAACTGCAACTATATAATACTACCCCCTTAATAGTATCACAATCCTCAATAT